TGTAATAAATGAATATATAAATAAAATTTAAATTAAAAAACAAACAAATAAAAAGAGTTTAAGCTGAAATTATAGATGAGGGGATACTTCTGGGAAATGAAGAGCTTTTAACTCGCCATTAATCTGATGCTCTCCTCTGTGTGAGATAGAGACCCTCTTTTAGAGTTGACCTGAATTTCTGCACTGCTCAGCTGAACTGCTGGTGATGGAGGGATCTACGATGGTACCTACTGAATCTATGTAATTATATTTTTAAAACAAGGGCACTTTCATCTTGATCACTCTTGTACCTACTGTATGATTTATCACCCAGCACTTTAAAATAATTTGAAGCAGATACTACAAAACACAAGGTCTACTTTGTATGCGATTCCCTTTCTGAAGAAAAGCAGGAAAAGAGAAAGTCCTACAGATGTCATAAAAGTGAATAGAATCATTCATAAATTCATGAAGCAAATGCTTTTCTTAAAAGTTTACTATAGATGTTAGACAATAAAGTAAAATGTGGAAAATAGAGCCATTCAAAGGTTTGTATAAGTTTGCCTTTGGTTATTAAATAAATTTTGTAATCATTGAGGGTATTTCAGAAGTTCCTAAGACTTGATTATTAAAACAAATTGCTTACTTTATGCTAACTGTCCACTACAGTATCCATTCTCAAGATATGGAATCAGATTTTGTACAAGCAAGGAGTCCTGGAAAGCACATTTTATGTTCATTTGTCTCTCCAAGTTGATCTAATATTAATGCTTTCCCACATTTCATTCCTTAAAATTAGTGTCTGCATATGCTGTTGAGAGAGTGACAGGTAACTTCTGGGCACAGAATAAAACATGGTGTGAGCGCATACAGATGTTAAGAAGAGAATAGTATAAAGTATATCACCTCCTCTTTTTGGAACATTCTCACTTCCTCAAAGAGAATAATCATTGCCTCTTGGCAATTCTGTAGCAATGTAATTCAAATACTATGAATGACTCAATTCTAATCATGTACTCTAGAGTTCTAATAGATCAAAGGTAAATACAGAGTTCTTCTCCTGGAAGCTTTAAGATTCACTTTGGACACTCACAACATTAATCAATAATTTCAATTCATTAATTAAGTAGCTTAGTAGGTATTAGGTTCTTAGGAGCTGTGCATAATTGGGGCTTTCCAAATGGAGCTAACCCTTTGATCTAATCAAATGAGTATTACATGTATGCTCATATGGTTTGGGGTTATTAAGAAAGTCATGTTAGAATAGCCCACTGTTTTATAAACCATATGTCAATAAGCTCAAGTCTCACAAACAGAGTAAAAGTCTTCCCTTCATTGCTCTGAGCTATAATTACACCATAATCAAGTTACAGAGCACAGGAGGTAGCAAAAATAGATAAAGGCAGAGTAAAAAAGAATAAGCTTTTTTTCAGCTTTAGCTGAAAAATACAAGCACAATCTTTTGTGTGAGCCTGTGACAGGAAGAACTGGTTTTCCGGGAGTAGGAGTGCGTGTTTCCCCGGTGCCATGATTGCTTGTAATAGGGACAACTTTGGTTCTGAAAGCACAGGCTGTACATATAATGATAAAATGAAAGTAGAAATAAAGCGTATTCCTCACAGTGATTCTGCAGCCTGAGTAAAACCTTCATTGGAAATTTTATAAATCTGATGGTCTCCTCAAGACAGTGTTTTCTTGAGGGAATTTTTCTTTGTTTTAATCAAAATAAGATTATCTCTGTCATGTTTTCTATGAAAAATAATTATACTGAAATTTTAGAATGAAATAAACTTTTGTGACCAATGATTATATTTTTACATTATTTTCTGTTTTAAGACTACATGGTATATACTCACTCATATAAACATACAACATAGAATAAACTAAAATCTGTACATCTAAACAAACTAAGCAAAAGAGAGGACCCTAACTAAAATGTTCAGTCCCCATCCTGAAAGGCAAAGAGGATGGACATCAGAAGAAAAAGAAAACAGGAAACAACCTAGGAACCTGCTACAGAGGGCCTCTGAAAGCCAGAAGAAAACAGGAAATAACCTCGGAACCTGCCACAGAGGGTCTCTGAAAGCCTCTGCAGTGCAGACTGTCAAAGCAGATGCTGAGCCTGATGACCAACTGATGGGCAGAGTGAATGGAATTTTATGTAAGAAGTGGGAAATAGTAAGAGCTGGAGAGGACAGGAACTCCACAAGGAGAGCAACAGAACAAGATAATTTGAACACAGGGAACTTCCCAGAGACTCATACTCCAACCAAGGACTATCCATGGAGATAACCTAGAACCCTGACAATGCAGCCACTTCTGATGAGATCTGATAGACTAAGATCAGAAAGAAGGAGAGGAGGACCTCCCCTATCAGTGGACTTGGGGAGGGGCATGCAGAAATGGGGGGAGGAGAGAGGGGCTTATGGGTGGATAAAAAATGAATAAAGTGTAATTAATAAAAAAAAATTTAAAAAAAGATTAAACTTAAAAAAAAAAGACTTACTTATCTGAGTCCTTGGTTAATAAAAAAACTTTAAAATCAGCATTTAAAAATGTTTAATTTTTTTTATATGTCATGATGTTCTTATGTTTTATCTAATTGATTTATTGACACTTCTTTTGTGGGGATCCATGTCACTTTCCATTCCAAGTCAAGATAATACACAGATACACAGCCTCTTGGTTCCGCAATACTTTCCATCTGTTTGCTTGCTTGCCTGCTTGTATGCTTGACAAGCTCCTACCATGTTATTAGGCTAACTTTGAATTCCTGTCTTATGTGATTTTTCTGCTTCAGGGATCCCAGTGTCCGGGACTATAGGTGCATGACACCATGCCCAGCTTGTTTGGGTTTGTTGTTGTTGTTTTGATTTGTTTTTGTTTTCTGTTGTTTTACTATATGTTTGTTTTCACCTTGTGATAGCCTAATATTTTTCAAGTTACTCACTCATGTATTTGATTTTGTTTTTAGATTATTTCAGAATATTTTAAAAAATAAAATGGAAACAGAAAGACATCCATGAATATAATTTCCTGAATTCCACATGATGCCTTGCCCCTGGCCTCTAGCAAAGCAATCCATTTTTTAGCATATTCGTATGAAGAACACAACGTTGCCTTTAGTAACAATATCAATGGAAATTACGATGGTGTTTTGAACCTCCATTTTGTGTTCGCTGCCAGGATCATATGTGAAAGCCCTGTCTGATATTTTTAAGAATATTTAAAGTTCGTTTACTCTACATCCCAAACATAGTCCTCTCCCTCCTCTCCTCTCAGTCTCACTCTCCTACCCTCTTCTCCCTTTCCTCCGTCCCGCCTCTCAGAAAAAGGGAGCCTTCCCCTCCACATCAACCCATCCCAGAACATCAAGTCACATCAGGATGGAGCACATCAAGACCAAGCACATCCGTATTGAGAGCATCTTCCACCACCGAGGCCAGGAGAGGCAGCCCCTCTAGGGGGAAGCAATCCAAAAGCAGACAACAGAGTCCACTTCTGAAACAACCCCTGCTCTCCTTGCTAGGGGGCAAACATGAAGACCAAGCTGCCCATCAGCCACACATGGGTACGGGGCCTAGACCATGCATGCTCTTTGGTTGGTGCTTCAGTCTCTGTTAGGCCTCATGGTCCTAGGTTAGTTCGCTTTATTGGTCTTCTTCTGGAGTTCTTGCCCCTCAATGTCTGTATATCCTTTCTTCACTCTTCTGCAATACACACCTATTTCTACTCCGTGATTGGCTCTGAGTTTCAGCATCTGTTTCAGCCTGCTGTTAGTTGGAGCCTCTCAGAGGACAGCTATGGTAGCTATCTACAAGCATAGCAGATTATCATTAAAAGGGTCAGGGGTTAGCTCTCTGCTATGAGAGCCAACCCCTCTCAGGTTGGATCAGTCATTGGTTGGACATTCCCTCAATCTCTGCTCCCTTTTTATCCCTGTACTTCTTTTAGGCAGGGTAAAAGTTGGGTGGAAGGTATTGTGAGTGGGTTGGTGTTTACCTCCCTCCACTAAGGAATCCTTCCTGGGTAGAACGTGGCCAGTTCAGTCCCCATATCCCCCTCTGCTAGGAGTCTCAGCTGGAGCCACCCATATATCTTCCCTGAAGCCTACCCTGTGGCAGGTGCCAGTTTGTCTCGAGACTCACTACCTCAGTTTCTCTTCTCTCTCCCAGACCTCTCACCAACCCCAACCCCAGCCATCATGTTCTCCACATATCCTATTTCCACCCATGTATTCCTTCCCACAGCATCTCCTGCCCAGTTCTCTTTATACATCCACTTCTGCCATCCGTTCTATTCCACTTTCGGAGTGAGACTCAAGCAACCTCCATTGGGCCCTCATTGTTGCTTAACTTCTTTGAGTCTGTGGATTGTAGTATGGTTATCCTGTACTATATGGCTACTATCCACTTATAAGTGAGTATACATCATATGTGTTTTTCTGGGTCAGGTTTACCTCACTCAGGATGAACTCTTCAAGTCCCATCCATTTGCGTGCAAATTTCATGATTTCCTTGTTTTGAATAGCTGAATATCATTCCATTGTGTAAATGTGCCACATTTTCTTTATCCATTCTTCAGTTTAGAGACATCTAGGTTATTTACCATTTCTGGTTATTATGAAAAAATCTGCTTTGAACATAATTGAGCAAATGCCCTTGCAGTATGGTGGAGCATCTTTAGGTATATGCCCAGGAGTGGTATAGTTGCATCTTGAGGTAAAACTATTACCAATTTTCTGAGATAGCACCAGATTAATTTACAAAGTTATTGTACAAGTTTGCACTCCCATCAGCAATGGAGGAGTGTTCCCCTTTTCTCCACATCTTCACCAGCATGTGCTGTCACTTGAGGGTTTGTTTTTTTTTGTTTTTGTTTTTGTTTTTGTTTTTTCTGAAAAATCTCAAAGCTTTATTGGCTTAATTACATAAATGCTTTTTACATTCTTGATTTTATTTCCTGCTTTCCTTTGGTCTTGGGTGCCACAAACAGAAAAGTAGAGAGCCAACAGCAGCATTTCAGGAATGAGTTTGAGGGAAACTGAGAGTAAGAGAATTTGAACTCTTGTTTCCATTTGGAACACAAAGAGAAAATACAGGTTTAACTGCTCCTCGAAAGGTAAGGTCAGTGAAACTATAAATGAGGGATCCCTCTGTCACGTCGTAAAATGATACCTGCTTATAACCAAAGTCGAGGAAGACTACAACTTTGTACATTCGCTTTTTCAGGCAGAGCTTTCTTAAGGGAGGAAAGATCCAGAAGGTGTACTCATCCCCCATCATACAGCCCATGAGCACGACTTTATCTCCAGAAGCCCCAGGCATGCTGTTCTCTTTCTCCGTACAGTCACATATGCCCCACTGCCACTGTGTGGCCTGTCCCACGGACACCTCCCAATAATGCCTCCCAGAGTTGAAGCTCTCTGCACCCAACATGGAAGTACTGAAGTTGAATATCCCTGGGGTGTCAGGCACACTCTTTGGTGTGTCTCCGAATCCCACACTTCTCAGGTCCTTAGATAAGACTAGGAAGGGGTGGGCTGTATCTGGGTCCAAAGTCACACATCCTGCAGGAAGAGAACTTCAATTAATCTTAGGGTTTGGCAAAACTGTGCTGGAGCAACAGTTTCTAACAAGTAGCAGGTCCCCAGGAAATGATATACAACAGAGACAACTAAGGAAATCTCGAAAAAGAGACACAAAGCTTTACTTCAATAGATGGACATCATGGAAGAACTATGTTGATATAACTTAACAATGGAAAGGGGTATTGTCTGCTGAGGAAGAAAATAACAAACACATGGTGATAGAATAAAAACAAGTTTAGAAGTTTTTCAACCCAACGTCTGTAGAATTGTGTTAACAACCAGGCACACCTAGATGCCACTTCAAACCCAAGAGATATCCCTTGTAGGGATTTCAATATGTCTGCCTTAGACTCACATGAGAAGGCTTAACCCATGGGAGTAGCACTATTAGGTGTAGCCTTGTTGAACAGGCGTGGTCTTGTTGAAGGAAGTGCGTCACTGTGGGGGGTGGGCTCTGAGGTCTCCTATGCTCAAGCTTCACCCAGTATGGAATCCATTCTGCCTGAAAGTCTCCAGCACCATGTCTGCCTACAAGCTGCCATAATGCTAATGGACTAAACTTCTGAGCTACAAGTCAACCCCAGTAAAATATCTTCCTTTATAAGAGTTGCCGTGGCTGTGGTGTCCCTTCACTGCAATGAAACCTAAGACATCCCCTAAAGATGTTTTCTAAGCACTAGTGTCTGCTAATATAACATGCTTGGGTGTTTTCCCATTTTAGTCATCTTGAATAATCGCTGAGTGTGATATACACCCTTAGCATTAAACAGACCTCGGAAACATACTACAGAGGTTAGGATCCCTAGGGGAATCCTGAAGTGTCCAGAACATGAAGCACAAGGTAATTCCTTTTAACTGTAAGAAGGTGATACTTGTATATCAGTCTGCTTTCCCCACCAAAGAAAGTGATACTTGTGTATCAGTTTGCTTTCCCCACCAAATATTGTGATTTTCCAGAGCTCCTGAAACACTCTTTTTACTGCTTGCATTGCCTCCCACACATGACATCACCTAGCCTCAGTTTTAAACACCCTCTGAATGATCATGACCCACTGCCTAAAATCGAAAGAAAGAAAGAAAGAAAGAAAGAAAGAAAGAAAGAAAGAAAGAAAGAAAGAAAGAAAGAAAGAAAGAAAGAAAGAAAGAAAAACCAGTTAGAAATAATATGGGAATTTGAAATATAACAAACCCCAAATGTAACTTCAACCAGACCCCTGTCAAATTCAGTTATCTTAGTTACTAGCATCCATATCCCTTTCATTAGACTAATTCAAAATATTTATTTCTAACATCAAAACCAGCAGTAGGTCTGTGGTGGTTTGAGAATGGTCCCTATAAGCTCATGTTTGAATACTTGGTCCTTAGTTGGTAGATTGCCAATTTGAATTTCTTAGCTAATTGTATCTATATCCCTTTCCTTTCACTAATGAAAAGAAAATATTTATTTCTATCATCAAAACCAGTCGTAGGCCTGAGTTGGTGTGAGAATGGTTCCCTAGGCTCATGTTTGAATATTTAGTCCTCAGTTGGCAGAACTTTGGGAGCACAATTAAGGTGTGGCTTTGCTGGAGGAGGTGTGTCACTGAGGTGGGTTTTGAAGCATCACCAGAATCCTATTCCCACTGTGTTCCCTGCTTCATGGTTGTGGTTGGAGATGTGATCTGCCTCCTTCTGCCTGGTGCCTCTCTGGCTGACCATCATGGATTCTAAACCCCTGAAACCGTAAGCGGCAAATAAAATCATTCTTCTATAAGTTGCCTTGGTCCTAGTGCTTCATTACAGCAACAAAAAGATAAGTGGTACAAGATTTTTACCCACCCACACACCTTTTTTTCCTGAGACAGGGTTTCTCTGTGTAGCCCTGGTTGTCTACAACTTGCTCTGAAGGCCAGGCTGCCCTCAAACTCATGGAGATTAGTCTGTCTCTGCTTTCCTGAGTGCTGGGATTAAAGGCCTGTGCTCCCATGCCCCGCTGAATTCTGTTTCATTCTTTCTTTTTCTTCTTCTTTTTTTAAATCTTTCTATCTACCTACCTACCTCCTATGGGTTTTGGAGATCAGGTTTCTATGTGTAGACTTGGATGTCCTGAACTCACTTTGTAGACCAGGGTGTTCTTAAACTCACAGAGATCCACCTGCCTTTGCTTTTTGATCTTAGCCATTCTGGTGAGTTTAAGATGGAATCCCAGAGTCTTTTTAATTTGCATTTCCCTGATGATTAAAAACTTTGAGCATTTCTTTATGAGCTTCTCTGCCATCACAGATTCTTCTGTTGAGAATTTGATGTTTAACACTGTACCCCATTTTTATTGAATTATTTGGTTTGTTAGTGTTTAAGTTATTTATATATTTTGGATATTAGCCCTCTTTCTGATGTAGGGTTGGTGAAGATATTTTCCCAATCTATAGTCTGTCATTTTGTTCTATTGACAGTGTCCTTTGACTTAGAGAAGATTTTCAATTTCATGAGGTCCCATTTATTAATTGTTGACTTTGGAGCCTGAGCCGTTGGTGTTCTGTTCAGAAAGTTGTCTCCTGTGCCAATGAATTTCAGGCTTTTCCCTACTTCCTCTTCTAATAGATTTCATGTATCTGGTTTCATATTGAGGTCTTTGATCCATTTGGACTTGCGTTTTGTGCAGAATAATAAATATAGATCTATTTGTGTTTTTCTACATGCAGATAGCAAGTTAAACCAGCACCATTTGTTGAAGATACTTTTTATCCCAGTGTATAGTTTTGGCTTTTTTGTTAAAAATCAAGTGTCCATAGGTGTATGGGTTTATTTCTGGGTCTTTAATTCAATTCAATTAACCAAACTGTCTGTTTCTATGTCAATACCATGCAGTTTTTATCACTATTGCTCTGGAGTACAACTTGAAATCAGGGATGGTGATATCTCCTGAAGTTCCTTTATTATACAGAATTGTTTTAACTATCCTGGGTCTTTTAGCTTTCCATATGAAGTTGATAGTTTCTCTTTCAAGGTCTGTAAAGGATTGTGTTGGAATTTTGATGGGAATTTTATTGAATCTGTAAGTAGCTTTTGGTAAGATAGCAACTTTTACAATGTTAATCCTACTGATCCATCAGCATGGGATATCTTTCCATCAAAATCTTATTCAATTTCTTTCTTCAAAGACTTGAAACTCTTGTCATAGAGGTCTTTCCCTTGCTTGGTAAGAATTACACCAAGATATTTGATATTATTTGTGACTACTGTGAAAGGTGATGTTTCCCTCATTATTTTTTCAGCCTGTTTATCACTGGTATAAAAGAGGGTACTGTTTTTTTTTTAAGTTAATTTTGTATCCAGCCACTTTGCTGAAGGTGTTTATCCATTGTAGGAGTTCTCTAGTAAAATTTTGGGGGCCGCTTATGTATACTATCATATGATATGCAAGTAGGGAACTTTTACATCTACCTTTCTAATTTGTATCCTTCTTGATCTCCTTTAGTTGTCTTATTGCTCTAGCTAGAAATTCAAGTACTATCTTGAAAAGATATGGAGAAAGTGGACACCCTTGCCCCTGATTTCAGTGGAATTGCTTTAATTTTTCTCTCCATTTAACTTAATGTTGGTTATTGGCTTGCTGTGTATTGCCTTTATTATACTTACATATGCACCTTGTTTCCTTGATCATCAAACATGAAAGGGTGATGGATTTTGTCAGCATCTAACAAGATGATCATGTGCTTTTTCTTTCTTTCAGTTTGTTTGCTTGGTGGATTTTGTTGATGGATTTTTATATGTTCAATCATCTCTGCATCCCTAGGATGAAGCCTATTTGATCATGGTGGATGATATTTTTGATGTGTTCCTAGATTCAGTTTGAGAGTGTTTTTTTTTTTTTTTTTTTTTCATCAATGTTCATGAGGGAGTTTGGTCTGACACTCTCTTTCTTTGTTGTTTTCTGAGTGTTTTAGGTATCAGGATCACAGTGGCCTCATAAAATGAGTCTGACATTGTTTCTTCTGTTTCTACTTTCTGGAATAGTTTCAGGAATATTGCTATTCATTCTTTGGAAGCCTGGTAGAACTCTGCACTGAAACCTTCTGGTCCTGGGCTTTGTTTCTTTGTTGTTGTGAGGCCTTATTGACTACTTCTATTTTGCTAGGGGTTATTAATCTATTTACATTGTTTACATGATCTTGATTTAATATTGTGAGCTGTGTCTATCAATAAAATCATCCATTTTGTTTACATTTCCAATTTTGTGGCATAGTTTTTGAAGATCTAATGACTTTTTTTTATTTCCTCCGTGACTTACTTCCCTTTTCTATTTATGATTTTGTTAATTTGGAATTCTCTCTCTCTCTCTCTCTCTCTCTCTCTCTCTCTCTCTCTCTGCCGTTTAGTTAGTTTGGCTTAGAGTTTGTCTACCTTGTTGATTTTCTCAAAGATTCAGCACTTGTTTTTTTTTTTTTGTATTGTTGATTCTTTGAGTTGTTCTCTTTGTTCTACTTTATTGATTTCAGCCCTGAGTTTAATTATTTCATGCCATCTACTCCTCTTGAGTGTGTTTGTTTCTTTTTGTTCTAGAGTGTTCAGGTGTGCTTTCAAATAGGTAGTATAATATAACTCTAATTTCTTTCTGAAGGCACATAGGGCTATGAACTTTCCTCTTAGCACTGCTCTCATTGTGTCCTATAGGTTTGGGTATGTTTTACTATAATTTTCATTAAATTCTAGAAAATCTAATTTCTTTCTTTATTTACTTGCTGACCCAGTGGTCATAGAGTAGAGAGTTGTTCAGCTTCCATGAGTTTGTAGGCCTTCTGTTGTTTCTGTTGCTGTTGAAGTCTAGCTTTAATCCATGATGGTCTGATAAAAAACAAGGTATTATTTCAATATTTTTTGTATCTGTTGAGGCTTTCTTGGTGTCTGGATATGTGGTCAATTCTGGAGAAAGTTTCTGAGGTGCTGAGAAGAGGTATATTATTTGTGTTTGGGATATTCTGTAGTTATCTGTTAGGTCC